ACCTTCCAAATTGGGGCTCAAGGGCTGAGGATTGTCGTCGGTTAAAGACGCTAAGAGATATGGCCCAGTCAGTGGAGCGAATGCTGTACGATCCGCCAGCCGAAATCTCGTTCACCGTAAAGAACGAGAAACTAACACAAGAAAATGTCAAGAACTGTATAGTAAAACACAAAAATTTGTTATTCCAGTTACCTACTAATTTAACTGCTTCATCTTCTTTCCACCTTGCTCTGTATCCCAATCTACCTGTCCCATGTTATTTTTATTGTTATCATTGTTGTGGCGTTGGCACCAAGCCGGTGTTACATATATATTACGATAGTGGATCTACACTCATCATTCCGTGACTATGACAGTCAACAAGCCTTAAACCTATGAGGAAAATTGGCTGGAATACACTTCACAGGAATAGGATGAGATATGACGAAAGCGCGGTTATCGTATTCCACACTTGATGATGATCCAGTACGGCACAGATATCGTCGTAACTGGTCGTCACGAAATCTCCCAGCTTTGGAAACCAGTCAATGAGGATGTGGGGTTGCCCACACGATAATTATGACTGGGTTAGTATGGAAACATGATTGTCCAACTTGGGATGCGAAAGCTTCGTTGCTATACGATCAGCCAGTCCCACTCCAACAGAATGGGTTGATACCTATCGATGTGGCATTCTTCGCTTGTGGTTCGGTGGGCGAAATCGTTCTGTCTAATATCCCAGTTTTATACCGACCAGCAGCCACAGATTCCCAGATGCGGTCCAAGTCGCCTGCCAGTCAGTCATCGTGATTGACCCCATAGAGAAAGAGTGGGGAGGGGGGACGAAGGAAACGGTTGATCACATAATAGTGTTGTTCCTATCGATGATGGTTGCGTGTGTGTGTTTGTGCTATCGATGCTACTGCTTCTGTTATTGGACAACCGTGTCGACTACAACTCCTGTTGGATTGAATTTAACAGATCGAATAAACACGAGTTTGATTTGCATCTTGCAGTCCGCTTTCCTCCCTTGCGACTCACTCGACGCGGGGGAAACGAGTTCTTTCATGTGAACGAGCACACACTCGCATGATGTATTCGGGTCAGAAGTGGAAAACAGTAGAAAAAATATTCAAACAACAGATACACACAACCATAGAAAGCGAGATATCTATATACAGACAGGGATTCGCATAAACACTTACATTGTCATGTTTGAGGCAGGAAAGCATTTTGAACTCGCGATACACGCGTTTGGCGGTGATTGCATTATGAAAGGCCCGGGGAATACGTTTCAATGCCACTTTTTGACCATCGCGCGGATCGATCACAGACCTGATTTAAACGAACAAACACAATAATGTTGAGCATGTGCACCCACGTGAGGCATATGGTGAACAAGCGAAATATGAACGTCCTATCTCTTCGGGTTCAAAGAGTTTGCGAGCAATTTTAATGAAAGGCAAGGACACCGTGAACGAAAATTGAACACCTATTCCAGTCAACCCCAAAAACTGAACAGGACATAATCGAGAAAAAATTTAAAAGTGAACTACTCTCACAAAGATTGGAGACGGGATGAAACAGTTGCCTGAGGATCATGGAGCGTTAGCAAACCTTGGAGAACACGTATGGTGTCAACGGAAAAATTTTATGCGAACCTTCTAACATCGATTGGGGGGGGGGGGCAGTTATTAATGTGCGATGCCACCGGCTCTGATTATATCATACGAATAGTCATGAAGCGTCTGCAGTTCGTCTACGGAGCCCAATGTTCGTTTAACTTTGGTATCAGTGCATTTGGGCAAACATTGACGTGTAATACGAAAACGTTTGCACGAGCATTCGCCTGTTTGTGGTTTGTTGATGTATATATAGCTACCGGTGGATGACTGGCAATAAGCCCGCAGGGACAGCTGGTTCGAGGTTAGACACGAATTCCGATCACGGGATACGACGACGCATGGTGATCCCGCATGCAAATCCAGTTCGGACAGGCGAATCGAAATAGTACATCTAAAGCGCTGGCACCGATCATTCACATTTCCGAGTGAATGACCTTGCGCCGATCACGCTTCTGCGTGAAATATACGCATATCCCTGTCATCTCACATGCAAACCGAAGAAGGTATGAACCATCGTTTGCAAAGTCGAACGATCGTACTGATCCAATTCGCCCAATCAAGAGAGAGAAAGAAAATATCAGTCTCTCCAAAGGTATGTCAAGATGTTGTTGTTCTTGTTGCATAAAAATCAATCAATCAATCACTGACTGCTACAGATTCAGCTTCAAAATTCGTATTGACAAAGTGGACTTCGACTAAAAGACACAATAACTTATTTATCCACGGGATTGATATATCGTTTCAAGTTGATACTATTCAAGTGAACAGGGTGGTGGTGGAGCAGTAGTTTGGTCG